ACAGACAACCTCTCGTCAATATGCGTTTTTTGCATTGCATTACTGCAAAAAACGCATAAAAATTAACACTCTGAATACGAATTACTTTCTTTTTTACAGAAAACAGATCGAAGTTAAAGAAGGTATCGTGAAAACTAAAACGGTTGGTGAAAAAAAGCGGCCGCACAAAAGAAGCGAAGCTTTAAAACGTGTAAAAGGGATTGTTGTTATATCGTCCCCCAATGCTACAACGCTTAAGAATGAAAATGTGCATCGAATCACAGGCCAAATAGACATGCGAGGATTTGCAGAACGATCTTGATACTATTTATCTTGATACTATCTTGATACACATAATTTTGGTATGCTTTATATTTTCTGGCTTCACACTAATAAGGGCAAAACAACACCCCGCTTTTAATCGCTATCAAGCCTGAACAATCACCGATGTTAAGAAATCTACACAAAAAAAAAAGATGGACCAATTTTTCCTTAAAGAAATCAGAAATTGATTTCGCTTTTATATAATAACAACTGAATGCTACCATGTCATCGCTGAAGCGCACCCTCGAATACTCACTGCTCACATTCTCCATGGATGTTTCTGACGTTAATTCGCTTTCTTCGGGTATTGTTTCCGCTGGTTCCGGACTTTTTTCATTCTGTAAAAATTCACTGTTCAAATATTTATAACTGTCAGTGAGTATCTATTGCTTGCAGCGTGGATGCACAAATCTGCCATAAAAGCGGTATAGAAATTAGTCGAAGCGTAAAGAGCATAACAGAATAAAGTGATATAGAAACTAGTGTTAAAAAGGTTTTGCTTTCGTTCTTGAGCAAACGGCAACTGATAAATCTCATAAAGTGAAAGAGAAAGTAGGATATCGCATCTATGATTTAATGTTCGTTGTCAAACGGAATTAGTAAAATTATCGGTACTCGTTAGAATTTTTGCCAATCTTCGGGTCTCGTCATAAAACTACTGTGTTGGATCAAATCCACTGCAGTTAGCTCGGCTCTTTTCGATTGCTGCTTTTATGAGAAAGAATAAAGCAGCTTTATTATCCTCACGCACAACTTTTTTGAATCGTAGATGGTAGCAGATAATAAAAAAGCTAGTGTTATGCAATATAAGATAGTGAAGAGGTTCAGCTAGAGGTCCCTATGCGCAGTGATATTTGCTTGCTTGCCTCGCGCCAGGACACCCGCTGTCGGGTTAATGCGTATCAAATGTTTTGTTCTATCAGACTTGAATGG